GATGTTTACGGATTATATACATGATACACATACACACAGAAACAGGTTGAGTATCCCTTATCCAACGTGCTTGAGGCAGGAAGTGTTTCAGATTTCATATTTTTTTCAGATTTTGAAATATTTGCATTACACGAGTTGAGCATCCCTAATCTGGAAATCCAAAATCTGAAATGCTCCAATAAGCATTTCCTTTGAGCATCATATTCACACCAAAAAGTTCTGGAATTTGAAGCATTTGAGATTTTGGATTTGATACACACAGTCTACATATACATAGATGCACACATTTATATATTTGTGCAAACATATATACATACACATAGACATACGTACACACACATCTATACTACACTGTATCTTATATATAAATAAAATATTTTAATTCCTCCTTCTTTCAGTCCAACCATCCATGGTATCAGGATACTTAGAAATGCCCAAGAGTTTTCAGGTTAGCATGGCAAGCCCCCTTAATGTAAGCAGGGGCTCACAAAAGCAAGATAGTGGAGACATGGTGACTTTTGGTTATTAAAGAGATGGCATCACTAAGAGATTAAAGAGATGGCATCACTAAGTCCTGGTACCAAAAATAGTTAAGCTGGCAGATGGCTGCCAACCTAATTCAGGATAGTCAGTTTCTCCCTGAGCATAAAGTCTATGAGCACCTCCAACCCCACTGTGTTCCCTAATCTGAACAAGCTCTTTTGTGAAAATCAATGCACAAACAAGTGCATTCTTCTGAAGATAACACTGTGCTTATATTTATCATACATTTGTCATCACTAGACACTTCTCAAACATAAATATGATGTGAAAAAACTGCATTAAAGTCTTTTCAGAGTTACATATAGAACTGTTTATCTAAGAAACCCTCACACACTTAAAATTACTTTCCTTAGTCCCCCACCAAATTCTTGTATTATTCTGTTGAGATTTTTCATATTTCTTTTATATGGTAGTAACAAAGCCATGAAGAAATTTTATTTTTATCATTGAGTCTTCCCATTAGGTAGTTAACATTTATCAGTAGTAGTACATAATTTTCTATTTGAACATTTCTTTTTGTTGTTATTATTAAACAGTTTTGTGAAACAATAGGTCAGCAGCAGCTGTGACACTCAAGACATCCCTAATCACACTATAAAGATATCCCAAGTCACACTTTTAAGATATACCAAGTCAGACTCTTAAACATCTTGGATTGCATTAAGATATCCCAGAATCACACTTCCAAGATATTCAGAATCACACAACTACTTTAAATCACAAACACTTAAAATAGAAAATTAGTCATAGCATCAATGAATCATGTCTGAATTATAAAACTACTGCAAACAAAGTCCCTAAATGAAACCCCATAGTGAAAACACTGATATACAGGTTGGGCAATGTGGGGGAAATCCCATCTCTACAAAAAATACAAGAATTAGCTGGGCGTGGTAGCACACGCCTGTGGTCCTAGCTACTTGGGAGGCTGGGGTGGGAAGACTGCTTGAGCCTGGGAGGCAGAAGTTGCAGGGAGCCCAGATCTTACCACTGCACTCCAACCTGGGTGACTGAAACCCTGTCTAAACAAACAAACAAACAAACAAATAACACACTGATATAAATTCTACTCTCAGAAAAACTCTTCAGACCTAAACAAAATTTAAAAAGCAATCGGAATTTGGGGCATTCCTACCTTGCTCTTAGCCTGGAGAAAATATCTTTACTTAAAAGATTCTGGGTAAACAACTAGGACTCATTCCAAGTGCTTCTTCACACCATTTATGTTGCTACCTCCATCTACACATAAGGGTTTAGGAAGACAATATTCATTTTGATAAATTTATGAAATGCCTACATTGCAAGAAACTGTGCTAGGCACTATAAAGAAAAGTAATGATATTCTCATGGCTCTGTAGTTTCTTCGAAAGCTAAGACCTACACATACATTACAGCAAAAAACAGTATGTAATAAATATGATACAAAGTGTCAGAAGAGTTTGGAAGCCAGAGTTAATCCTTGATTCCGGGAAAATCAGGGAGCCTTTATATAAAATATATTACCTGAGCTATATAAACTAACTGGAGAAAATGAGGGTAGTGAGTTACACCAGGGGGAGAAAAGAGTTCATAAAAGTATGGAGGTGAAAGAAATAGAATATTTGTAGAAGAACAAAGGAAGAGCAAAGAGTCATGTGGTGAAGCTTAAGATACACAAAGGAGGGCGGGGCACAGTGGTTCACGCCTGTAATTCCAGCACTTTGGGAGGCTGGGGGTGGTGGATCACCTAAGGTCAGGAGTTCGAGACCAGCCTGGCCAACATGGTGAAACCCTGTCTCTACTAAAAATACAAAAATTAGCTGGGCATGGTGGCATTCACCTGTAATCCCAGCTACTTGGGACACTGGGGCAGGAGAATTGCTTGAACCTGGGAGGTGGAGGTTGCAGTGAGCTGAGATCCCACCAATGCACTCCAGCCTGGGTGACAGAGCAAGACTCTGTCTCAAAAAAAAAAAAAAAAAGAAAAGAAAGAAAAAGAAAAAAAAAAAAGAAAGGAGAGTGGTGGTGAAGGAAAAGCCTACTTAATTTTGGAGGATAAAATAAGGTATCCCAATATCCAGGCTAGGTAGTTTGGACTTCTTTAATCTGATATTGAATTGCTGTCCTGCAGTCTTTTATCAAAGGTAGTACCACAAACAGAGAGGCGTTTTAGATTAATCTGAGGGTGCAAGGTAAATGAAGAGAGCCAGGGTTAAGAAAAGCAGCTCCCAATAAAAAACAAAACAAAACAAACAAACAAACAAAAAAACCAAGGAAGCCAATAGGTGGCAAGCCCTGATAGTATTTCGTTTAATCGTATTGAATCCTATCAATACAGCTATAATACATTTTCATAGATTAAAAAAAAAAAAAAAAAAAAACTACAGCAATTCAAAATAGTTGGTGGCCCAGAAACACAAAGCTGATTGATGAAAAATTACTCAGATTTAGGGACCTGAGGAGGCAAACATGCTGGAAGGAGGGTAGGAAAAATCTAGGGTGCTTGTAAGTACAAATGTAGGAGAAATGTCTGATGCAGAATCTATCAGGTGTAAAGAAAAAATAGACATGATGAAAATTTAGACATGAAGAAAAATGCAGCATCCTACAGAACAGTCATAAATTAGACTTGAGGAGGATGAAGAACTAATTCAGTTAAGAGAAAGTGGATAAGCTAGATGTTTTAAAAGGTAGTATTCAAATAAGGAACCCTAAGATCTAAGAACTGGAAGAGTTTTAAAGTGATGAGATTCCACCATTCTCTGGTGGAAATAGGGAAGCTGACCATGGATCTCGGTTTCCAGAGTTGAGGAAAGAGAAGAAAAGTTAACTCGGGGTGGCATATGGAAAAGTCTAAAATAACTATGACGGGTGACAGGACAGAGAGAAAAAACATGCTTCTTATATTAAAGTCACTGAGGTTTAAAAAAAAATCTGAAGAACCCAGAGATTCACTTATAGCAAGCAGAGAATAAGGCAATATAAATAGATGACTGGTACATCCCCAAGAAGAAATTCTGAAGAGTATTTGTGATGAAACCAGCATCACCTGTAACCCTGAAGAACTAGAAAAAAAGGTTGACTTTTTTTTTTTTTTTTTTTACTTACTTTGAATTCAGGAAAAATAAAATAAAAATAAAAAAAGGAATTGCCTTTGTTACCCCCAGCCAGATCCACTATCCTTTTAAAACCAGAGTAATATTATTTCAGGAATTGATGATAATGGTCGTTGTCTCTTAACTTTCAAGATGTCTTTCTCACACGTACGAGGCCATCCACAGTTGCAGATGGGAGCCTACCAGAGACACAGTTTTCTCAATCTCATAAATAGGGTTCAATGTGTGATCTCCAAAATGACTTTCAATACAAAATAAATGGCAAAATGCAACTTCCTCAAATGTAATCAGAGTTAAATAACACTATATGATTTGCTAAAGCTGAACTATTTTGTTTTCATCTACTTTAAATGATCTGTAAAGTTACACATGATTTTAATGATACATCTTAAAATTAAGGTTACCTTCAATGAGGTTTTCTAGACAAAACCAGACTGTAAGAATGCAATACCCAACATATTCTTTTCCTTATACGCAACACACACACACACACACACACACACACACACACACAGAGAGAGAGAGAGAGAGAGAGAGAGAGAGAGAGAGAGAGAGAGAGAGAGCGCTAAGGTCAAAACAGCTTAAATTTCTAAAACAGGATTCCTGATAACAAATAGGCAGTTGAAGGTGAAAGAACAAGACCAAGTCTATAGTTCATGTAACTTTCCACTTCAAAGTGAAATGGAAAATTACACTTGGCTTTGTTCCATTTTTCCAATTTTCACAAAGGTATTTAAAAATATCAGTCTTCTAAATCACATCTTTCCTTTTTGCTAGGATAAAGTTTGATTTTACTTTTCTACTTAACTCACCCACATTTTAAATAAATTAATTAAATCATTCAATGAAATAAAAAAACTGCCAATTACTTTACAGACAGATTTAACTGTTTTGATAAATACAAAAGTATTTAATAAAGAGTAATAAAACTCTTAAAATTAAGAGTTTCGCAAACTTAAAGAAGCGGCTTAAAGAGGGAAGAAAAATTTGAGAAGAAAAGGATAGGATTTTCCTGCGGGTCACTGGGCTTGTTTTGTAAGTTGGGTTTACAAAATCAGTATAACTGATGGCCATTCCTCCAGGAAAGGCTTATTTTTAAAAACTTGTTAGATAACTAACGAGATATGAAAGGGTTCCAGATTTCAAGACATTTAATTGGGCTTGTGGAATTCATAGCACTGATATTAAAACATTGATACAAAATTTTTAACACCATTTTAGCACTCTTTTTTTAACAGGTAAATAAACTGAGTGATAAATGAAGCGTTTTCTCAAAGAACAAACATCAAGACATATATCACAGAGGCTTTCAGTGGTGGAATAAGAAGGGGAGGTCCTGATATTTCATTCACTCCAGCGTACCTGCCATGAACAGTAGTAGATTTGATAATATCCCCAGGTAGGACCACTGAGAGTTCAATGTCTTTATCTATCATGTTTTCTTTCTGTTCCATGATGAAAGCAGTGGATTCTACAGAATCAGCAGCTGAAGAGACATCAGCATATTTGGTCTCAGCTGGAGGAAGTGGTGCCTTGGCTTTTGGTTTTCTCCTAAAATAGAAATAAAACACAAAAAATACAAAATATTTTATTTTTAAGGTAACTTTTTAATATGATTCAATTTTATAAACTCATATATATATATGAGTTTATATATATATAGCTGTTTTTCACATCTAGAAAAAATGTTCTAAAATGTTAACTGTTAGTGTCAGATGGTCAAATTAGGATTTTTTTTTTTTTTTCCTTTTCCAGTTAGCATTTTGTTTTGGTTTGAGTACTATGCCTATATTACTTGGACGTAAAAAGAAACATGATAAAGAGATTTTACATGGGCCTCTATTAAATTCAGTTACTGTGTATTCACTCTAGCAAGTCAAGAGGAAAATTTATTTTCTTTGATGAGATAAATTACAAAAATCCTTAATGTTTCAGGATAGAGATCAGTATCTCACTCTCTCATTTCACAGTAACTCTTCCCTTTGGGCCCTGCATCCTATTTGTTTCCGATGTAGTATGTTCCACTTCTCCATTAAGACAAACCCTACCTTATCCTTCAAAGACTACCTAAATCCACCCTGCTTGCCCCAAACTACCCCTTCCACAGAATTTCTTCCTTCTTTGAATTAATATAGCACGTACCAATTCCATAGATGTAACTTTTTAAATATTTTTTTCTGGGTACCAGTTTCAACTCTCTATCTACACTTATAACTCCCTGCAAAAAAAGAAGCATGAAGCATGCTAGCCAGATGTGGTAGCACACAGCAGAGATTCCAGCTACTCAGCAGACTGAGGTTGAGGGATGCATTGATTTCAGGGGTTTGAGTCCAGCCTGGGCAACATGGTGAGACCCTAACTCAAAGAACAAAAGCAAGAAAGATGGCTGCATTTCCCACTGCACATAGATGGCTATATTTCCCACTGCACCTAGCAATGAACTATGATGGGTTGTTTGATAAACAGTATATCTGCTTCAATGAAAAACATTACTAATAATTTTCTAATAAATATTTTTGTGTCACTAAGACAACCTCTTAACTTATAACAGGAATAGTAGACATTCTGAACTTACATAGGCCAATCCAAAGATCTGATGGGTTGAAAAAATAAAATGTGAAAATAAACTACAAGTAATGACATATTTATGGTCTTATTTGAAACACTGTGAATTAAAGTTTTTGAAAATATTACCTTTATAAAAGGCTAATTGGTTTTAGAAGAATGAATACTACTCCTTTCCACTCAGAAAAATATAGATTTCAATTCCTCCCATCCTTACTTGCTAGGCGAACATTAGAACCAAACAAGATCAAAAGGCTTCTTCGTAAGTAAATATATAACATCCACCTATTCGGAATTTTCAAAATTTAAGGTCTCATGACTCCAACTCCTTTAACATATGACTCATCATGAAAAGACTGAAGCGAGGTTCCTACATTGTACATTACAAGCCCTTAACTCTTAGTGGTATAATAATAGAACATACTATACTTCAGAAAAGACTTATTTTACAAGAGCAACAAAACTACATTTTTTTCATTATACTTTATGTTCTAGGGTACATGTGCACAACGTGAAGGTTACATATGTATACATGTGTCGTGTTGGTGTGCTGCACCCATTAACTCGTCATTTACATTAGGTATATCTCCTAATATCCCTCCCCCATCCCCCCATCCCACAATAGGCCCTGGTGTGTGATGTTCCCCTTCCTGTGTCCAAGTGTTCTCATTGTTAAATTCCCACCTATGAGTGAGAACATGCAGTGTTTGGTTTTCTGTTCTTGTGATAGTTTGCTGAGAATGATGGTTTCCAGCTGCATCCATGTCCCTACAAAGGACACAAACTCATCCTTTGTTATGGCTGCATAGTATTCCATGGTGTATATGTGCCACATTTTTTTAATCCAGTCTGTCATTGATGGACATTTGGGTTGGTTCCAAGTCTTTGCTATTGCGAATAGTGCTGCAATAAACATACGTGTGCATGTGTCTTTATAGCAGCATAATTTATAATCCTTTGGGTATATACCCAGTAATGGGATGGCCGGGTCAAATGGTATTTCTAGTTCTAGATACTTGAGAAATCGCCGCACTGTCTTCCACAATGGTTGAACCAGTTTACAGTCCCACCAACAGTGTAAAACTGTTCCTATTTCTCCACAATCTCTCCAGCCCCTGTTGTTTCCTGACTTTTTAATGATCATCATTCTAACTGCTGTGAGATGGTATCTCATTGTGGTTTTGATTTGCATTTCTCTGATGGCTAGCGATGACGAGAATTTTTTCACGTGTCTGTTGGCTGCATAAATGTCTTCTTCTGAGAAGTGTCTGTTCATATCCTTTGCCCACTTTTTGATGGGGTTGTTTGTTTTTTTCTTGTAAATTTGTTTGAGTTCTTTGTAGCTCTGTATAGTAGCCTTTTGTCAGATGAGTAGACTGCAAAAATTTTCTCCCATTCTGTAGGTTGCCTGTTCACTCTGATGGTAGTTTCTTTTGCTGTGCAGAAGCTCTTTAGTTGAATTAGATCCCATTTGTCAACTTTGGCTTTTGTTGCCATTGCTTTTGGTATTTTAGACATGAAGTCCTTGCCCATGCCTATGTCCTGAATGGTATTGCCTAGGTTGTCTTCTAGGGTTTTTGTAGTTTTAGGTCTAACATTTAAGTCTTTAATTCATCTTGAATTAATTTTTGTATAAGGTGTAAGGAAGATATCCAGTTTCAGCTTTCTACTTATGGCTAGGCAGTTTTCCCAGCATCATTTATTAAATAGGGGATCCTTTCCCATTTCTTGTTTTTGTCAGGTTTGTCAAAGATCAGATGGCTGTAGATGTGTGGTATTATTTCTGAGGGCTCTGTTCTGTTCCATTGGTCTATATCTCTGTTTTGGTACCAGTACCATGCTGTTTTGGTTACTGTAGCCTTGTAGTACAGTTTGAAGTCAGGTAGCGTGATGCCTCCAGCTTTGTTCTTTTGGCTTAGGATTGTCTTGGCAATGCGGGCTTTTTGGTCCCATATGAACTTTAAAGTAGCAAAACTACATTTTTAAAAACTGTTACAATGAAGAAAAGCTTATAAAAATCCCTGTAAAGAAGAATGCCCCCAATTTCAAATTTCAGTTTTTAAATCTGCAGAAATTGACCACTTGTGTATAACAAATATTTATTTTATAACAGACAATTATCAGAGCAGATTCAGCTAAACACAGGAAAAGTGAAGATGAGTAAGACTCAGTTCCTATTCCTGAAGGGTTCATAGCCCCGAAGGATTGACAGGCAGGCAAAATTACCATTAAGTTTGATGGACTGCTCTAACACAGGTATGCAGATGGTGAAGCTGCAGGTCACAGGAAGAAAACGGAACTTTCCTAGGAATCCAGAAATGTCTTACAGATGGGAAACATGAGCTGGGTTTTGAAGAATGAAGAGAAAACACAGGAAAAAGCAAGAAATAAATGATATTTCAGGCAGAGGAAAGTGAATAGAGCCATAAAAGAAAATGGTACTTTTTAGAATTAAATGGTTTGGTAAAATTGCACAGAGAAGTCAGAAGAGATGAGAAATCAGTGAATCGACTGAAACATTTTATAAGTAAGAGAATTCAGTAAGGTGGGTTGTTACAAAGGTCATATATGAAAGTGTCAATAGTCTACATAAATATCAGCAAAAACTAGTCATAAAGTACAATGAAAGAAAAAGTAACTTTGGTAATAGCAACAAAAATGAATTTTAAAAAGATTCTCCAAGTATTCCCATCTCAGTCAATCACATTTCTTTCATTTGTCCAGGCCAAAAATCCTTTTTCATATAAACATATATCTAATCCATCTACAAATTCCACCAGCTCTATTTCATAAATAGACCCAGAATCCACCAACCACCTGGATCACCAAACACCTCTGCTCAAGCTGCCAACTGGTGTCCCCACTCCCAACCTTGTCACTTTGTAATCTAGTCTCAACGTACCAACCAGCGTGATCTTTTTAAAATACAAGTTAGATGACTAAACTTTCAGGGGTCATTTCTGTAGTTCATTACTAGAGAAGTTTCTCTGAATGTGTGGAAAAATAAGTAAATAAAATAATAAAATAAAATACAAGTCAGATCACTGCCTCACTTCTCACATTCTCCAGTGGTTTCTTGCCTCAACCACAGTGTTATACAAATGTTCCTCTACTTATGATGGGATTACAACCTGATAAATCCACCCTAAATTGAAAATATAAAGTCAAAATGTACCAAATATCCCCAATAAACCCATCATAGAATCAGAAAATCATAATTCAAAGCATCATAAATCCAGATGTCCCTCAATTTATGACGAGGTTACATTCTGACAAACCCACAATAAAGTTGAAAAATCATATGTCAAACCATTGCAAGCAGGGGACCATCTGTAATAGGTCCTTCCTTCCTCCCTACCTCCGGCCTCTCCAGTCCCCTATCTAACACTTTCTCCCTGGGCTCACTACATTCCAGTCTCAGGACTCTTGCCTTTTCCTTGAACACATCCACAATACCAGGCCATCTATAGTGTCTGTTCCTGACTTTAACACGCCCATCTCTCTCTCTCTGCCTTACTTTTGGCCACAGGATTAATGAGCAACATACTTACGTCTCCTTCCGTTAAAGGCTAATTAATTCCATGAGACTAGGGACTTGTCTCCATCACCTTGTCCATACATTTCCAAATACACAGAATCTCTGGGACCATGCCTGCCGCATAGTAGGCACTGATATTTGCTGAAAGAGTGAATTCAATGACTACTTTCCACAGAAGATGCACTACCTACACCTAAAATTGGGAAGGAAGAGTCCTTACCACCAAAAAATACAATGAGCTTTCGTACTTATCTGGGATTTTTTTAAAAAATTAACTGATTATGTTTTATTTTTTACAAGATGAATGAAAAATACACATTGGCTTTACTAGCAAGGGATAACTGAGAACTTCGTAATTATGGGGAAGTGTTCCCTGTCTACTGCACACTGCAGTGAACTCCTCTCACTCACAGTTTTGATGTCGGTGTGTGACAGTTTTACTTCCTCA